ATCTGACCCTTATACTCCATCGTACTTTTAACTCTGAAAAAACATGTTTAAATTTATTTTATTCTGAATTTTAGCTGCTGAACTTTTAAGTGTACATTTTCAGTGTTTAAAATCAAATATAAAAATTACACCTTTTACATATTCAACACAAATATTTTCAAGCCCTTAAATTCAACAGTCCAAATTCAGAGTGTAAAATTTACAGTGAAGAAAATTCGCAGGAAAGATTCAAGATGCCAAGGCAGAAGTTACTGATCCAAAGTGATCCAATCGAACTTAGTAACAAACAGGAAATTGGATTGTTTAAAATGAGACTCATCCAAACCTCATGTCTTTTATTTCTATTATTTTTTATTTATATTTTATTTATTCTTAAGAGTAAAACCCGCCCACACATGAGAACGGCGAATAGGAAACAGCCTCTGTCTTCCTCACTCACATGATCAATTGCTTTTGCCTTGGCATCTTGGATCTTTGTTGTGAAATTTTTCATTGTGAATTTTGACTGTCTGAGGAATGGAAAATATTTGTGCTGAATATCTAAAAGGTGAAATTTGTATTCTGAAGTTGCAAAATATTGAAAAAGCCTACTTAAAATTTCAGCAACTAAAATAAGAAGAATTAAAAAGAGGTAAAAATATTCAAAGTGAGAAATCCAGTGGTATTTAAAATTCTAAATCTGATGGAACAAATGATCTTCCATACACTTACATTCAAATTTGTGGATCTTAATGATTGTGGTAAAGTAACAGTCACTTTCAGAGAGAAAAAGCATATTACTTGTTATTAATATGTAATTAGACTAAGGTCAACTTGAATGAGACGAGTAACTTCAACAGTGACGTATTATTGCCAAGAGTCCAGCTCCATTTCCCAGTCTGTCCCAGTCCTCGTTTTGCTTCCTCCCTGTTTTTCCTACAGGTCATTCCCTGATTATTCCAAGTCCGTCTCTATCTCCTCACTCTGTTCATTCAGTCATGGGGCTTCTTTTGTTTCTTCCAGCATTTTTTGAGCCCTAAGTGCAGGGCCTTGGTTGAGTTTACATGGAATGACCGAGCTTTATTATTTTATTGTTATGATGTGTTTTGAGTTTAAGCTGAACAAAAGTTTTGCTACGTTTTTTTTCCCAAAGACTAAACATTTAAATCCTCATGTACCTGATGCAGATCTAAATGGCATTATTGTCGAATAGAACCTGTTTTTACTCTAACTTCTGTATGTAAATAACATTTACTTGCTTAGTTCAAGACAGTCGCTTTCCATGGTTTGCCAAGTAAAATGAACTTACTATTAAAGTAAAGGTTATTGCATATTTCAGATTTGAGGAACTGACTAATTAGTTGGCTCAGCTTCACAACATGACTTCTCTGAATGAAAACTAAAGTACACTTTACCTGCTGTGCCTAAATCGATGAAAGAGGAATTTACTGTACACAACACTGAGGAAGGTACCTGTAAGCTCAGCTTTAGATTCACAGTCCACTTTAATCAGATTTTCAAGGTAATCCGTTTCCTAGATTTTTTTCATGAAAGGTCTACTCTATTGTATTTTACAGTGTACCTACAGTATAGTGCTGCAACTATTATTCAGCTAATTGTGACTATAAAATATAATAATTAGACTTAGACTTAGACAAACTTTATTAATCCACAAGGGAAGCTATTTGGACACAGTAGCTCACACATCAGAGCATATTATAACAACAAAGAGCAACAATATAAATGGTGATAATACATCCAAAATAAGTAGCAAAAATAGCAATAGGCTGGTGTGAAATGAGGTATAATTATACAAATGTGTATGTACGAAATATAGAAATATAGTAATCATAGTTATATTTTTATATTTTTTAAACACAAGCCTAAAAAACTTTTATAACAAATAACATGGCACTGAAGCCCTCAGTCACCATATTTCAACCTGTGATTCTTAATGCACAGTGGAAATAATCATTTGACTAGTCGACTATCCATCCATCCATTTTCTTCTGCTTCTCCGGGTCGCGGGGGCAGCAGTCTAAGCAGGGACCCTCAGTCTACCAGACACTGGACACTTCCTCCAGCTCCTCGCAAGGGACCCTGAAGCATTCCCAGGCCAGCCGAGAGACATAGTCCCTCCAGCGTGTCCTGGGTCTTCCTCGGGGTCTTCCATGCCCGCAACACCTTCCGAGGAAGGCGCTCAGGAGGCATCCAGAACAGATGTCCGAGCCACCTCAACTGGTTCCTCTCGACATGAAGGAGCAGCGGCTCTACTCCAAGCTCCTCCCATGTGACTGAGCTCCTCACCGTATCTCTAACAGAACACCCAGCCACCCTGCGGAGAAAACTCAATTCGACTAGTCAAATCATATTTAGTTGCAGCCCAACAAGTCCGATCAGAGAATATATGCTCCAGAAGGAAACGAGGACTAAAACAGTACTAAAACAGATCCGCACAATAAGACCAATCAATAAGACCAATAGCCCTGTCTGAGCTAGACCTAAATCGGTTTTACAATAGGAGTATAGTTCAGTTTCCTGACATAAACTGGCTGTGCAGATGCCCTGTATGGCTTTAAAGGTCCTATATTACACAAAATGGACTCTTGTGAGCTTTTGGCCATGTTATAATGCTGTTGCCTCATCAAAAACAGTCACATATATTTGAGTAATCCTTTATAATTAGTCAGTCTACATCTCCAAAGCTCAAACTGCTCTTTTACACTAAAGCGGTAGTTTTCAAGTTAACAGCTACTTTTTACCTTTTGTTCAGTAGAGACGGGCAAATCCAGGCTTGAAATCAACTAAATGATTCAAGTGAAGATGTATGGATTTTTCAAAACACAGTGGAGCACTTCCTGTTTTACCACATGACATCACAAGGTGGAAGAAAGTGTTTTCAATTTGAGAGAAGAACTATTTTATATCTAGGAGGAAAACTGCATATCCCCCGTGGCGCTCAAACCAAAATTTAAGAACTACGAAAACTCTCCTTTGACATTTTAAAAGTAAAAATCTGTAGCGACGGACTTGCAAATCAAACAGGAGTCCCTTGTTACAGAGTTGGAGCAGTTAAAGCCGTGTGAGGGAATATTTTTGAAGAACAATGGGAAAAGTGAGATGAAAAGACTTTTCGGTAGATGGAACACAAAATCTCCAGGCGGGACTTTTATGTTGGAGCTTGTTACGATTTTTAACTCTAAGATGTGGGGACAAAAGCTGCTGGATCAGAGCTTTTAAGATCACTGCTTCAGGATTTTGAATATGGTACGATGTGATGCCCAAAAGAGTCTCCCACCAGCCTCTTTAAACTTTTTGGTCTTGTTAAATATACAAAATGTGAGAGTAATTACCAAATGTGTAGCCACTGAGTCAGAAAGAAGTTAATGCTTTGTTTTTCTTTGGTAATTGCAAACCAGAAATATTTTTGGTCCTTTATTATTCTCATCGCATTATAATGTTTCCTCTTCAAAAATATCCATGCTAATGAAGTGTTACACATCCTTTATTTCAGTACAACCTGTTATTTCACAGTCTGCATGCTGTAGTTGTGTCATATGACTGTGATAAAAGTTCTAGGACCAGAAATACAAATGAAACGGAAAATAAAATTCACACTCTTTCATACAAAACACACAGCAAACATGTGTAAACAGCTTTTTGGGCATACTTTTTTTTTTTTATTTAGAGCCTTAGCTACAAAAGTGCAAAAATATCAAGTCTGTAAGTAAACTGAAAATATCCTTATTGCCTCAAAACAAACAAAAAACAAATAAAAAATGCAATGGCCCCATGACTTCCTGGTCCTAGTCATGGAAACAGCTCGTGTCAGAGCACAGAGCCACATCACTTCCTGCATTTCCATGGTGTTTATTACATTTGGATTTGTACATTTTGTCAGAAATAAACCTTTCAAATAAAAATAGCAAGGGATGAGCAATTACACAGATTAAGATGCATCATTGCCGTTTATTTGAGAAATAACTGCACTTAGAGAATCTTTTTAAATTGTTACGAACACAGACGCTCAGAGCAGTCAACCATTTTGACTCACTACACTCTTTGGCAAAGTTTGGGCTGATCAAAATGGATGGAGTGCATGGGATTGGCGAAAAACAAAGATCCTGTTGGACACTCATGGTAAATGGTCACATTTTTCTATAGCTCTTTTCCACCTTCAAGGCACTCAAAGCACTTTACAACAAGGAACCACTCACACATTCACACACCAGTGTAAGCAGACACTAGGGAGCAAGGTGTGTTAAGTGTCTTGCCCAAGGAAACAACGCCAGCATTTCATCTGTGGGAGCTGGAATCACACCAGTCAACCTGTGGGTCAGTGGATCTGACCGCTCAACCCGTGATGTTTTTTGTTTTGTTTTTTGGCAAGAGCGGGGTTCGAACCGCCAACCTTCAGATCAGAGGGCGAATGTTTTACCTACTGCCGCCCAATAATTTTCCTTACGTCGTCACGCAGCGTGTGACGGAGGAAATCTGGATGAGGTCCGAGACGCATTGTGGGGCCAGTCCATTCAAAGCTTTAAAAACAAACAATAAAATCTTAAAATCAACTCTAAAAGCCAGTAGCCATCGCAAAATAACAAAAACAAAAACACCTCCACGACATCAGCACATAGTCAAAATACAGTACAAACATTTCACAGGACGAGCAACTGGGTAGGGGAGTGGATTTAACCCAGCGTAGGCAGGCAGCCATCCGGATCCGCAACCACTGGGCGCTGGGTGCAAAGCTGTGAGGGGTTAGATGCTCGGGGGAAAGTGTTTCCCTGCTGTAATCTCTGGGGGTGATAATACCGACCTGTCTTGAGACCGGAGCTGGCTGGGGAGGGCCAATGAGATAACCTTTTACTAGAGAGTGGCAAATCTGTGGCTGAATGATCCAAATGATTCTAGTGTACTTTGAAAATTCAACAGAGCACAAAAGTAGCATAATACGGTTCCTTCTGACTCGCTCTAGTGCAGCCTGTTACTCACCAGTCTCTCTTCACGTCTCTCTCCAGATCTCAAAGGACAGGCCACGGCAAAAAACGACATCCGTGTGGAGATCGTGCACAAAGATCACAACGCAGCACGAGAGAACGAGGAGCACGCCAACATGAAGCAGATGATGGTAAGATCTGGGACCTCTTATAAACAAAATCATAGTTAAAGGGCCCATCTCATGCAGAATAACTCTTTTCACATTGTATCCTCTGCACATAAACAAGCACAATTTAGGTTTTGGAACATCCATTACACAATAGTTATGAAATCTTACTGATTTCTTGGAGACAGTCACAGACCAGGAACTATGAAAGGCCGACTATTGCTCATCCCCCCGCCCGTCCTGAGAAAGCACAGGCTCCGCGTGAGCCGCCCTTCCTCCGCCCATCTCAGGGAGGGAGGGGGAGACAGGCGTGTACCCTGATAGAGGCAGGAATAAACTTTTATTCATCATGGTGAGCCTTATGTGTTGGACCCGGAATCAGACGAGGACTTTGAAGTGCACGAAGCTCAAGCACCGCGTCCACATCAGCTGAACATTACTGATTGGTAAAGTATTAATAAACACTAGTAGATATACTTATATCATGTACACTGCAGTGCACTTTCTGCTATGTCAAACGCGTCACACGTTTAGTTGGCCGTGTCATCGTTGTAGCAGCTTTAGTTCGTTGTCACGTGGGAGGGTGTCAGAAATATGCTGCAATTTGTTGCAAAAAATCGCTGAATCAATCTAAAGACCACTTCAGCGACATATACGAGGCCCACACATCACTCTTAGAAGGTAGAAAGCTCTGAAAATTTGATTTTGCATGAGATGGGCCCTTCAAGGTTTTTTTTGTTTTTTTTTAGGGGTGGGACTTGATTAAACATTAATCTTATTAATTACAGGCTTTGTAATTTATTCATCCCAATTAATCACACAACAATTTGCCCCAAAAGCAACATTTATTTTATGTAAATGAATTTTAGTGGACTCAAAGTCAGTCATTTGTTCGAGTTTGTTCTCTCTTGTTTGTACTCGGACCAGAATTGCTCCCGCCGACAGCTCCAGCAGTTTCTGTGCTCGCTGTCACATTTTGTGACGTTTTACATTTAAATGGTATCGCAGGGTTGAGGTGCTCCTGTGATATAGAAACTCTTTTCTGCACAGTTTGCAATAAACAACACGTTTGTCAATATTTCCATTGGGTAGTTTTTTGAATACAAATTTATCATCCAGGAGATCCAGAGCGCTTTCATACCACGCTCATGGATTGTTGTCGGAACTGTGTGCGTCAGTGATATTTTTAATTCATTAATATCTTTGTAATTAATTAATGTCGCACCCTTAGTTTTGTTTTGCTTTTTTACATTTTTTTTTTTTTTTTGTATCTGAAAATGTCCTCCAGGAAGAATATATCAAAAACAAAAAAGAGTACTGCTTTGTCTGAGACTTGTTAGACTTTAATCAGAGCTTTATTTTAACACAGTCTGACCAGAAAGAGCTGAAGTAGTTGGAACTGCAACATGTGAGCTGATTTGTGCTCTTACACTAGTCCCTTTCCAAATACGGCCACAGAATTAGCCAACAGTTTCTCACTTTTTGTTGTACTGTACATCAAACTCATAAACAGGATTATGAACGTTCGTATTGATCACAGGTTTCTGAAAATGTTGCTCATGCCACTTCATTAGTTACATCAGTTTCGTTACTACTTTAGCTTGGAAAGAATCTGGAGAACTGAAGAAAACTTAACAACAGAGAGTTTTGAAATCTGAGAAACTAAAAGGGTCAGTTCCTAGCTGACATTTTGAGCTCTGAATGTTGCTCCCCGGTCTTCACCTCCATTTCATTCTTACACTTAAACTGTCCAATAAAACCAGGCTGAATAAATCGTATTGATCACAGGTTCCTGAAAATGTTAAATCCATTTAGTATTTTTCTTGAGTTGTCAGACGATCTTAAAACTTATTGGACAGCCTTTGCTAATGTGTGTATTGCATCTCCATGGTAACTGGTTAAAGTCCCACCAGTCGAAGCCTCTGCCTCTGTGATTCCTCTCATATAATTTATTTGGACGTGTAGTGGTTGTGCATTTGTATTTGCACAGTAAAATAGATGTAGCCTTGGTAAAGAGTTAAGGTGATGTTCGTACATGACAGCTGCTGAACCAGGCAGATCTCATGTGTGTAGTGTGTGGAAAATAATAAAAAATAGCCTCAGAACGTAGGGTGAATTTGAAGTGGAATCCTCTGAAACTAACTACCTTATTTTTCGGACTGTAAGGCGCATTTAAATCCTTTAATTTTCTCAAAAATCGACCGTACGCCTTATAATCTGGTGCATCCTATGTATTAATTCTGATTGTGCTTACCTCTAACATATTTTATGTTGTACGACTTTGGTAAGCTACAAAGCCGCACCGCTTGATGGACTGTCGGAGTATTACAGCTACTGTTGTCAGGAGCCTCAAGCAGTAAGTCCGACAGAAGCTGACCACATCACCGCACAAGGAGCGAGCTGTTTTTTTCAACGCTTACAGTTAATGTAAATTAGACATGTGGTTTTACGTTTCGTTTCTGTAAAACGTAAATAAATGTGCAGGAAATAAAAAATAAAAAAAGATTAAATGATCCACCCACATTCACATTCATAATAGACAATACACAATACCAAGACAGGGAGGCAACGCCGGGCGAATTACACCATGCTGCCAGTAAATCGTTTTATTTTTTATTTTTCTTTATTTAAAAAAAAAACATTTTATTTATTTGTGTATTTATTTATTCATTTATTTATTTTCTTTCTTTTTTTTTTTAATGGGACAATGCATATTCATGAACATATACTTGTAAATACACCAGAATTAGCCCAAAGCCTATTTTTCATCTGTAGTCCCTGGCAGGTCAGAGAGATAGAGACAACATAAGACAACCTCACAGAGTAGACAAACTGTCAACGACAATTCATACGACAAGCATGATAGAAACAGCACAATAAGACACAATCATGACATACAACACTTACATTTACATAGAAGCATAAAATTAGTGTTCACAGATGTGGTTTCTCTTTAGCCATTATTTCAGATTGGAACTCGTGGATGTCGTTCGTTTGTTTCGCTTAATGCGCTTTATAATCCGGTGCACCTTGTGGATGAAAATAGATGAGAAAATTCAACATTATTGATACTGCACCTTATAATCCAGTGTGCCTTATAGTCTGAAAAATATGGTAGATATATAGATACTTTATTGATCCCGAAGGAAGTTCAAAGTTCAGCAGCAGCAGAGAAACAAACATAGCAACACAGAAAAGATATTTCAAGTTGGCAGTCCATCTAAAAAGCTTCTTAAAAATAATCTTAAAGAAAAGATTTTTGTGTGAGGCCATATGTCTAGAGCTGTCAGTGTATATGAGGAGGTGTGGACATAACGTTAATTCTCAATATGTCACCTCTAAATCTATTCTTCAGTCTCACTTCTTTTACCTCCATTATTAAGACCCTTTGAGGTTTTTTTTTAAGTATTTCTGTACCCTGTCTCATTCTGTGCCATTCTAACATACCTCATTTGAGTGACGTACTCTGTGTGAATCTGCAGATAGACCGAGGGGAGTTCCAACAGGAGCCTGTCCTGAAGCAGCTGGAGGTGCTCCCAGAGGAGGAGAAGGAGTTCCAGCACATCAAGGTAACTATAGTAACATATGGAAAAGTGACATGGACTAAAAAAACAGCCAAAAAGTTCTGAATCACGTGGGAGCCAGCAGAAACAGAAGTTATTGTTTTAAGTTGATGAATAGATAAAGGTTCTATATGACGCAGAATGAACTCTTGTGAGCTTTTAGCTGTGACTGTTACCTCATCAGAAGTCTTTATTATTAGTCTGTTTACATCTCCAAAGCTCAAAAACCTTATGGTGTCACGAAGCAGTAGTTTTCAAGTTAACAGCTCCTTTTACCTTTTGTTCATTAGAGATTGGCACTTCCAGATCTGAAATAATCTAAATCAGTGGTGTTCAATAGGTGAGGCAAGACCGGCCTCTCCTGGGGGGTGCCAAAGAGCCACTGGGGAGGTGCGACACATGCGGACTAAACCAGGACTAAACCAGGACTAAACCAAGACTAAACCAAGACTAAATCGGAACGGAACCAGGACTGATTGTAGGGACGCCTGCGTAGGGTGACCGCAGGCGAAAGGAGCGGTACAGAGCTCCACACCCCACAGAGCTAAGTGCAGCCGGCGCCCGATCACGCTTTGCTCCGCGGGCTCAGGGTTCTCCCTCTCTCTCAAATCCAAGATAAGTCCTGGTTTAGACCTGGTTTAGACCTGGTTTAGTCCTCGCTTAGTCCGGGTTTAGTCCTTGTTTAGTTCTGGTTTAGTCTGGGTTTAGTCTGGGTTTAGTCCTGGTTTAGACCTGGTTTAGTCTGGGTTTAGTCCTGGTTTAGTCCTGGTTTAGTCTGGGTTTAGTCCTGGTTTAGTCCTGGTTTAGTCTGGGTTTAGTCCTGGTTTAGTCCTGGTTTAGTCTAGGTTTAGTCCTGGTTTAGTCCTGGTTTAGTCCTGGTTTAGTCCGGGTTTAGTCTGGGTTTAGTCCTGGTTTAGTCTGGGTTTAGTCCTGGTTTAGTCCTGGTTTAGTCTGGGTTTAGTCCTGGTTTAGTCCGGGTTTAGTCCTGGTTTAGTCCTGGTTCAGCTCTGGTTTAGTCTGGTTTAGTCTGGGTTTAGTCCTGGTTTAGTCCTGGTTTAGTCCTGGTTTAGTCCGGGTTTAGTCTGGTTTAGTCTGGTTTAGTCTGGTTTAGTCCTGGTTTAGTCCTGGGTTTAGTCTGGGTTTAGTCCTGGTTTAGTCCTGGTTTAGTCCTGGGTTTAGTCCTGGTTTAGTCCTGGTTTAGTCCTGGTTTAGTAGTCTGGTTTAGTCCTGGTTTAGTCCTGGTTTAGTACTCGTGTCCTACTGATATTCAATGATGTTAAAAGTCACCTCAGTTAGTTAGCTAGTTAGCATGAAGTTGGAAATTATTTGCGGTTGCAAAAATCGTTTATGAAACAGGTGTGTGTGGAGTAGGGCGGCAGATGGGAAAGGGGGGTTTGGCTGTCTTTTCTAAGGGGAGGCTCGCATTCACCCAATTTGAAAACCACTGTTCTAAATGATTCTGGTGAAGGTCTATGAACCTTACAAACCTGTTACATGGGCCCGTTAGGTGCGTATGACAGGTTTTAAAGTTTTTTTCTTATTATTATTTGGTTTGGTGGGATAGTATGTGTGGTTAGGGGCAGGATGTGGAGTAAAAAAATTGAGAAAGCACAAAAATTAGTTCTACAACAGAATACCTCTACCTGTCATCAACACAGAAAAGTCCAACCAAAATGCAAACACAATTCACGAGCAAGAAACGCATTTCTCTAACAGCTTAAATCTTCATTTAACAAAATAAATTAACTATTGAACTATTTAGATCAGATTTTGGCCGTTGTTAATGTGGTTTCTTGTCATATCTACTGCCCATGCCTAGAAAGGAAGTAAAATTATAAACTCCAAACAATAAAATTCAGTGTTTCCCCTAAAATTATACTGACTAGGCACCTATTTTCTCTCATACTTCGCCCGTTTGGTCCAGTCTGTTCTGTAAAGTAAAGTGGAACAGTATTTGATCATAATAAATTAATACATGAAAATATGCTGGGAGAAAATTTGAGGAAAAAAAAAAAATCTTTTGCCAATGTATTAATTACACAAAATGGTTTGACAGCAGCCGTATGTTAGCTCATTATCCACACAATGGCTACTTCATTAGTTACATCTGTTTCTTTGGCACAACTAGGCTACTGTGTGATACATGCTGACATCCTGCTTTAGTGTGGAAAGAATCTGGAGAACTGAAGAAAACTCTTAACTTTTATCAGCAACAGAGAATTTTAAAATCTGAGAAACTAAAAGGGTGAATTCTTTGCTGACATTTTGAGCTCTGAATGTTGCTCTCCACTCTTCACCACTTACACTGACCGGCATCGCAATTTAAGTCACAGTTATCCGTTTTTTTCCATGACTCATTTAAACACAAAATCGAAAACTGAAAAAAAAAATAAATAAAATTGTTATCTGTTTTTTCATTTTCATCTAAGCTAATTTCCATCCTCACCTGGACCAAGAGCCACTTAACCTGTACAATTCATAAAACAAAAGATAAAATAAATAAAACAAAAGATACAATAACAGCTTCCACACGCCTCTCACGCTCGTGTTATACTGAACAATCCGTGTATCATTCAGTCTTGGTCCTGGTCCCTGTCTGGTTCCGTTCTCAGTGCCGGTCTCAGTCCCTGTTTGGTCCTGGTCTGGTCCCAGTCTCAGTCCCAGTCTAGTCCTGGTTTCAGTCCCGGTATGTTCCCGGTCTGGTCCCGGTCTGGTCCTGGTCTCAGTCCTGGTCTCAGTCCTGGTCTCAGTCCTGCTCTCAGTCCCAGTCTGGATGCAGGCGCACCTATGGGCCTATCCAGTTTTAGTGCTGTTTTAGTCCTGTTTTAGTCCTGGTTCAGTCCTGGTTTAGACCTGTTTTAGTCCTGGTTTAGTCCTTGTTCAGTTCTGGTTTAGTTCTGGTTTAGTTTTGGTTCAGTCCTGGTTCAGTCCTGGGATCAGTCCTGGTTTAGACCTGGTTTAGTCCTGGTTTAGTCCTGTTTTAGTCCTGTTTTAGTCCTGATTCAGTCCTGGGATCAGTTCTGGTTTAGTCCTGGTTCAGTCCTGGTTCAGTCCTAGTTCACTCCTGGTTCAGTCCTGTTTTAGTCCTGGTTTAGTCCTGGTTTCAGTCTGTATGCGGAGCAAAAGTCCAACACACAGAAAATGGGAAATGTTATCTGTTTTTTTCCATTATTCATTTAAAAAAAAAAAAAACTTTAAAAAAAAAAAACTTAAAAAAAAAAAAAAAAAAAAAATCATTATCGTTTTTTTTTTTGGGGGGGGGTTTGGTTTTGGAAACAAATAATGAAGAAAATAGTTGTTTTTTTCATTTTCTTATTTTCGGTTTTATTTTGAAAAACTAAATAAACGAATGATACACAGATTCTGGACCTTTAAACTGATACAATTTCTATATTAAAAAAAAAAATCACGCCCGAGTGCTTCTCATTTAGTTACGTCACTATTACTGTGTGGACAATCACGCGTCTAACCTGACATTACACCCTCAGATCAGAATCGAACCGGCAACCATCTGGTCACTAGTCCTAACCCAGCGCACTACACCGGCACCATCACCTCCGCCTTAACTTCTGCATAGTACAATAATAGCCTTTTAATACCGTAATTACACCGTATACACAGGTAAATTGTGCGTAATGAAGCTTTTCCTCTTGCATAATCAAATTAGCCTCAGCGCCCGAGTTAGAGGCTCTGGGGACAGACAAAGAGGGAGATAAATGGTCCCCTCCCTGGTCATTTTCTCATTGAACCCGGTGGGAAAATGAGCATGAGGAGAGACTAAGTGAGTGATTTTTTAAATGTAATTCTGTGTTAGCTCAATAGCAGGTTCAATGGATGATTTAGACACTGCTATTAGTCTACACCGAGCACTACCTCCTGGTCAGTAAAGTCACACTGAAAAACACACCTTGTTTTTACCGGGGCCGAGATAGAGAATGTGTTTAATTAAAGGCTGTAGACAAAAGTAAATTAGCCTGTAAACTCAGAGTGCAAAATGGACAAAATTAGGAAATCGCCAAGGCTCCTATTTCCTGCACAAACTACTTCTTGAACAACTTCTGCGTAAAAACTGCTAACTCTGTGTTTTAGGCCTTTATAAATATGTTCTGAAATGTGATTCTTGACTTCGTTTGTCAGTTCATAGTCTTTTTGTCAGTTCTTCTTCAACTTTGAACTTAGAACAAACACTGCAAATCTAATCGCACACAGAGTTTTCTCCAAATTGTTCAGCTCTAGTGTATAACAAATATATTCTTGGTTAGTGCACGCTTTACTCAAATGAAATCCAAATTTAATTTACAATTTGCTAATCCTTTTACTGTTTGTAGCGTCAGTATTTTAACCTTAAAGGGGCTGTACATAAACCTGTCACCACAACACATTTTGAAGCACGACAGAGGAATATCACAATGAATGATTATCGTATTTTTCAGACTACAAGGCGCACTTAAAATCCTTTAATTTTCTCAAAAATCGACAGTGCGCCTTATAATCCGGTGCACCTTATGTATTAATTCTGTTTGTGCTTACTGACCTCGAACCGATTTTATTGACTTTGGTAAGCTTCAAAGCCGCACCACTTGATGGATTGTCGGGGCATTACGGCTGCTGTAGTCGGGTTCCTCGCGGGGTGAGTCCAACAGAAGTTGACCACATCAGCCACAAGGAGCGAGCTGTTTTTTTCAGTGCTTATAGTTTATGTTGATGAGCCAAGTGGTTTTAGGTTTTGTTTCTGTAAAAAGTAAATAAATGTGCACAAAGCTGCATTAAACACATTGTTACTAATGTATATTTGAGTCTTCCTCGTAGGAAATCATTTTTAAAAAGCTTTAATTATCCACCCACATTCACATTCATAATACAGATTCGCCAAGACAGGGAGGCAACGCCACGATCTGCCAATGTATCGTGGATGTCTGGGCTAAGGGATCAGTCTCAAGTATCGTCCGTTTGTTTCACTTAATGCAGAGATGCCCAAACTTTTTTCATCAAGGGCCACATGTCTA